GAGAGAGAGATTGTTATTATGTGATCTGGCTCAACCTCTTGCTCTGTTAAAAATGATAAAAGAGACAGATAAAGAGATAAAGACAAAAATAGAGAGACAAAGAGATGTAAAGAGAAACAATTCTCTCTTAATCTTTTATGTCCTTCAGATGTTCTTTCCAAACTATTTCTTAAAAATCTTTTTAACAATATTAACATTATTTATTTCCGTTAACCATAACAACAATATTTAAATTACATTAAGTCTGACTTACACATATATTATATTTCAGGTTAATTAGTATATAAGTAAACATCACATTGCCTTAGTGAGCTCTACCTTCATCCACCAACAGACATCAACACCCACCTTCATCCACCAACACCCATCTTCATATACTAGTAGCACTCACCCTCCACTACCACCACCCATCTACACCCGTCTTCCACCTACACCCACCTCTCACCTACAGGTACACCCACTTCCCACCTATCCACTGACGACGCCAACCACCTACATCCACCACCACCATCTACATCCATCATTACCCACCTGGCCACAACCTACACTCACCTAGCCACCCCCTACACCCACCTCGCCACCCTCTACACCCACCTACCCACCTCCTACACCCACCTACCCACCCACTACACCCACCTAGCCACCCCCTACACCCACCTAGCCACCACCCTCACCCACCCAGCCACCCCCTACACCCACCTCACCCCACACCCACCACACCCACCCCCTACACCCACACCCACCTACACCCACCCCACACACCCACCTAGCCACCCCCACACCCACCTACCACCCACACCCACCTAGCACCCCCACACCCACCTAGCCACCCCCACACCCAGCCACCTCCCACACCCACCCACACCACACCCACCCCACCCCACACCCACCCCCACCCTCACCACCCCCACCCCTGCCACCACCCTGCACACCCACCTAGCCACCCCTACACCCACCTAGCCACCCCTACACCCACCCACACCCCACACCCACCACCACCCACCCCCTACCCACCCCCACCCCACACACCACCACACCCACCCACCCACCCACCCCCACCCCCACACCCACCCACCCCCCACACCCCCCACCACCCACCACCCACATCCACCCCACACCCCACACCACCCACCCCACCCACCCACCCACATCCACCCACCACCCACCCCCCCCCCACACCCACCTACCCCACCCACTGGCCACCCACACCACCACACCCACCGCCCCCCTACACCCACCTAGCCACCCCCCACACCCACCCACCACCCCACACCCACCCACCACCCACCCACCACCCCCACCACCCACCCACCCACCCACCCCACCCACCCACCCACCACACCCACCCAGCCACCCACCCACCCACCCAGCCCACACCACCAGCCACCACCACACCCACCTAGCCACCCACCCCACCCAGCCACCACACACCCCCACACACCACCCACCCCACCCCACCCACCTACCCACCTAGCCCACCCACCCACACCCACCCAGCCACCCCCACACCCACCTAGCACACCAGCCACCACATCACCCCACACCCACCTAGCCACCACCCCACACCCACCTAGCCACCCCCCACCCCCTACCCACACCCACCTACCACACCCACCCACCTACCACCACCCACACCCACCCAGCCACCCCATGCACCCACCTAACCACCCCCACACCCACCTAGCCACCCTCACACCCACCTACACACACCACCTAGTCACCCTCACCCCCCACCCACCTAGCCACCCCTTACACCCACCCACCCCTGGCCACCCCCTACACACACCCAGCCACACCCCCACCCACACCCACCACACCCACACCCACCCCTACACCCACACCCACCACACCACCCACACCCACCTAGCCACCCCTTACACCCACCTGCCACCCCCACACCACACCCCAGCCACCACCTACCCACCCCACACCCACCCCACCCCACACCCACCTAGCCACCACCTACACCCTCACCTACCACCCACACCACCTACACCACACCCTCACCCCCACCCCTACCCCACACCCACCTACCCACCACCACCCCATAGCCACCCCCTACCCAGTAGCCCCCCTACACCAGTGGTTGTCAACCTTTTTCACTCCATTCCCCTTGAGGAATTTTCAACATCCTCGTGGCCTCCTTCATTTCTCCCCCACAAATAATGTTGAAAAATAAAATGCAGATGAAGAGAATACCCTTATTTTATTTTAAGGTTGACAATCATCATCTTATATTTTAATAGACTTACATGATTACATAACTGACGTCACTAGACTACAGTAGAGTGACTACTAGATAAGCCTCACAGTAAACTTGAATTTGGTTGGGAAAAAGTTTATATGACCTTTGCATATTTTGTCACAACTCAATGGGAAGTCTGTTATTGTTTCCTTTCAGTCAGGTGACTGAGCCGAGGTTGTGTCACTGACAATGCACAGCTCATGTCCGGGTCCACATCCAGTCGGTTCCGGCTTTTACTCTTTATATGTAGAAGAGTGGAGAAACCAGATTCGCATAAATAGGTAGTTGAAAAAGGCAAGAGGACTCGAAGTGCAATCTCGCTAACTTTTGGATATGATTGATACATTGAGCACCAGAATACAGTCAGAGATCTTTCTTCATAGAGATCTTTGGCAGCAGAATCATTCTTGAGATCAAGAAATTCGTCCTGAACATCATTGGGAATGGCAGCAATATCAAGAGTGCCAGAGAAAGGATTCCTCACCTATTTCCCGTCTTCCTCCTCGAATTCTGGGAAATACTTTTTGAGCTCACTTCCAAGGATTTCAGGTGCTGAGTGATTTCAGTTTTGAGTGATGGGTCAAGCAGATGATCTTCATTTTCATCAAGAACAGTTGAAAGATTCTCAAACATGGCAACATATCCTGCATTGACTTTCTTTTTCCAATTTTGGAGCTTAGCAAGAAATGCACGAAGACAATCCATGAACGGAAATACATTTCATTCCTTGCCCTGCAGCTTGAGATTCAGCCTGTTTAGCTGCTCAAGTAAATCTGCTAAATATGCAAGACGTGGCTCCCACAACAACTCATTGAAGTGACTTAATAGATCATCTTTCCCTTGCACTTCCAGGAGCAACTTAAGTTCTCCCCGAAGTTCAAACACTCGATTCACAACATTGCCCTTGGAAAGCCAGCGCACTTTGGAGTAAAAAAGGAGGGCTTCATGCTCTGAATCCATGTCTCTACAAAGGTTCTGGAAAAAGCGAAAGTTCAGATCTCCAGCTTTCACAAAGTTGACACATTTGACCACTGCCTCCAGGATCTTGCAAAGTTCATCAGGGAGGGCTTTTGACGCCAGTGCAAAACGATGGATCATACAATGGATCCCCTTGGCATTCGGAGCTACTTCCTTGACACGCTTCTGGAGCCCCGATTTTGATCCCAGCATCGCCGGAGCCTCATCCGTACAGACTCCACAACAATTTTCCCAGCTGATCCTGTTAGCTGTGAAGAAAGAAGACAGCTTTCCCATCACATCTACAGCTGTTGTGGTGGTCTCGAGCTGTGTACAGAACAGATATTCCTCCTTGATGTCACACAAGAAAACATACCTAACAAACACGAGTAGCTGTGCACAAGAAATCACGTCCGTTGACTCATCCAGCTGTGTTGCAAACACCAGATGGAGATAATTTGATCTCCTGTATCACTTTTTCCTTTATGTCATCTGACGTTTCATTAATTCTCCGTTTCACTGTATCGTTTGACAAGGAAATTTTTTGAATTTTACGTTCACTTGCCTCTCCAAGAACCCGTTTAACCATTTTTAAAGCACATGGCTTAATTAAAGTTTCACCAATTGTATGGGGCTTCTTTTGCTTTGCTATTTCGAGGGAAACCTCGTATGATGCCTCAACTACACTTACGGTCTGTAGTTGGAAAGCACCACTCTCGTCCAGTTTCTGTTTTCCCAAACTCCGTTCATGGCGCCTGAAGAAATCGGTGTCTCTCTCCGCATACTGTGGATGGATCGTCATCAGATGATGCTTCAGCTTACTAGGCCTCATAGAATCGTTCCCCAGCACGTTGAAGCACAGCATACACTGAGGTTTCTCAATGCCATCAGCGAGGATTGATGTAAATCCGTAGTTGAAGTATCCAGATAAATAGGACAAGAGTTAGAATGGCAAACACACACACACACATTCACATACATAACATGCCCATGCACTCACACATAAAGCACACATACAGTCATACACAAACATGCACACAGGTAAACATTCACACTCAAGCTAGCAAGCTGAAGTGAACTTCCTGTGAGCAAGAACTCGCCTCCTTTGACAAGCACTGCCCAACTTGGAAGAACGAGAAGAATAGTGAGTCATACCAATTTAGCACTAAAAATGGTTGGATTATATAAGTAAAGAATGAGTATGAACAACAATGGCACCAATAAATAAGGAAATAATTAATAAAGGAACTGTACAAATATTTCACCCACGTAAAGCAGCGACCACATGAATTATGAAACAAAATAAGTAACACCAATTACGGAGTATATTATGCTTGAGTCAAGCTCAAACACAATATATGGTTCAGAGATAATACACTCCACTGTTTTCGTGATGGTATCCCAGGCCAGACTGAGATCATTCGGTTCTATCACCACTTGCAAAGGTGATGACACACGGACACGTACTGAACAAGTCAGTTCAGCAGCTCGGTCCAGCGCCTGTCACACAGACAGGGACTAGACCTGTGGAATCTTAAATAATCCGTAAAAAAAAAAAAAATGGCACCAGAGTATGTAAATATTGAAATTGTATTGCCGTTATGCTTAAACAAAATGACAGAAAAAGAATGAAAATTCTCTTCTGCCAAGTCAAAATAAGTAATACAAGTTTTGTATAATTCAGATTCCCAACATTATTTGGAAACGTACAATTTATAACAGCTCGCCGTGGCTCCCCTAAATTCTTGCCGTGGCTCCCTTGGGGGCCTACACCCACCTAGCCACCCCCTACACCCACCTGCACTTGGACGGTGGATGACTCGAGGCCAGAGTAGATGATGGGCAGAATGTCGGTCGTGATGTCTTCCTGTGGCGTCTTCTCCAAGATTATGTGGATGTTCTCCAGGAGGGTGACGGATGCCTGGATGCTCTTGGGCAGGTTGAACACCACTCTGAGGGTAGGAGAGAGTGGGTGGGTCAGTGAGTTAGTGAGAGGGAGGGTACGAAGGAGTGTGGGTGAGTGAGAGGGAGTGTGGGACTGTGGGTGAGTGAGTTAGTGAGATGGAGGGTGAGTGAGAGGGAGTGTGGGTGAATGAATTAGCGAGAGAGTGGGTAAGAGGGAGTATAGGTAAGAGGGAGTATGGGTGAGAGGGAGTTGGGATGAGTGAATTAGTGAGATAGTGAGTGTGGATTGTACGAATAGCAGTTCATGATGTAATATTTGAGAGAATATATGCACGATACAGGTTTTTTAGTGACTTCACAACATTTTATTTACCATCACTATACTTAACATCACTATACAAGAGGGACTACGACTTCCCTCGAGCCAGGAGTAGGGGTAGAGGGTGCATCGAAACTATGGCGCGTGAGTGTACAGTACTCGTAAATTAAGAATCGTCCAAAAGTTGAACAAATCCTTTAATATTGATTAGTGAAACGCTTTACAGATTGTGTGTGTGTGTGTGTGTGTGTGTGTTAGTCGGTAGCAATGATTAATTACATAAACTTAATAACCAAAAATCAACACGTATTTAATTGTCTTCTCGCCGGTACAGAAAACGAAGCTGGACTAGTGGAAGACTTAACTAAATGAGTACTTATTGTTAACATACGGTACACAGCAAACATACACAACACATACTTAATATGATGTGCGGTTAGCCAAAGATCCATCTGGTACAGTGAACGGCGTATTTTGTGAATTGTGGCAACTCTGTTTATATACACAGTAGTAAAACTACCAGAATGGCCTGAAGGAACTTTGCAACATTAGCCAGACTAAGGATGCGATATAAGCAGTCCTTCTCTATCTGTGAAGGGAAGCGTTTCTTTTCTGATTTTAGTTTTGATCCAGATTACCAAAACAGAACGTCAGTGGCTCCTATCTGTTGCTTGCTAGATGGTGGCGGTGTGGTGAGGTGAAGTGACGTAAGGAGACTTTTTGTATGTGCTTATTAAGTAAAATTCACTGATGTTGTGTTATATATTCACATAGCACATTTCATTGGTGCCCAGATAATCGCAAACCAGTACACCACTACAATTCCACAAGGAACCCGGATGAGGCTACGACCAATCTATCTTTTGGTTTACTGCATCTACCTGTAATTAGAGCATGAGCACACCACCCCACGATAAAAGGCATACTTGAGTTCTGTTGGCAGTAATATTATACATATCACAAGTTCCTGTTAATTTAACTACAGTTTAAGGGTAACTGCGAAATATCAGTTCTAACTGATACATAAAATGACAATACATTATATTAAAACCAATATACGTTATTTAGCCGACCGTCTACAAATAAGTTTGATACGATCAGTTTTATGCATGACTTCACCCCTACCTAATTAGACACCCGAGCAGTGACCTACCACCACCACACGCCTCAATATATGTGTAGCAATTGATCTTTTACAGATTAACAGCATATATTTACCAGTTTTATTTTGATGGTAGGAAACCGACGAGCACAGTGTAAGAGACGTTAGATAACGCAACGCTTTATCGTGGAGTGTGGGAGTGAGTGAGGTTCTGCGGTAACGGTCATGGTGGGTCGTACTATTTTTGCTCAGAACCGCCATGAATGATTCATACAGATGTTGAACTAAGTATTTGTGGATAAGATTACAGTTAAGTCTAATATTAGGTCGTCTTGGAGTTCGAACATTCTACTAACATCTCAAATTTAGTAAAAGTTCAATTTACCCATCCAACTCACAGTGAAACACCGCCTTGGATTATGTAAATGTTAAGGCCAACATAATTAAAGTCTCTCTCTCTCTCTCTCTCTCTCTCTCTCTCTCTCAGTAAAGGCGTCGATGCATCACAGTCTGGCCCCGGAAATGGACAACTTCCTGTCCTGGATACAATTTTTGTTTAACATTTAGTAAAAAGCTTACGACATAAACTCTGTGTGTGTGTGTGTGTGTGTGTGTGTGTGTGTGTGTGTGTGTATGTATGTGTGTGCAGGGTGGTGTAATGCATCTAGTGTGGCAGCACTATGTTAGTGTTAAGGCGCAAACTCTGCTTGCTTCCTCTCGCTTTCAGCTACTGCCGCTGGCTAGCCCTAGTGACGAACAGGGAAGCAAATTGCATAAGTCCTTCCCTGCCAGTACACAGCCTCTTCACCATCAAGACTCCTGCTGTGCTTTCTCGTCGCAACACACGGTAACTGGGTACCTCGTGGGCCAAGGCTAGACCAGCGGGGGATCTCGAAGCAGAAGTGAGCCCCAGAGGGACGGCATATGAGCCCACTAGCTTGTGGACACATCCTGGAGCCTACAAAACCACTGTCCCGCTGCCTTGCGGATTAACCTTGGTAGGTAAAAGGCTACATGAGTAAACCCGAAACTAAAAATCTACAGTAGAGCACCGTATCAGGCAGACATGCTTACAGAGCTCCAACAAGACCCAACGGCGTTATAGATAAATGAGGTGACCAACGTGGGAAAGAAACGACTACACCAGCGGGCGAAGGCAATGCATGACGGACAGGCTACTAAGGCAAAATCCAACAAACTGGGCTATCGGCAGTCCATTGCAACTATCCCTCTCCCCAGTCGTTGCAACACCTGTAGCACTGGATCAGGAAAATGGAGAGCCAAGAGAGTGGTTGCAGCCTGCGCTCCTGCCTCACTACATAAATCAACTCACGCACAGCCATCATCCAGCTCATCATCATCAAAACCCCTATACCCCTAAAGTCCTATGGCGACGATTGAGTGGCGACGGGGACAGGCAGAGATGACTGCCGGGAGTCTCTAGTCAAAACTCTCCACATGGGCGGCAGAGAGAGGATGGTCGTTTATGCACTGGGATCTAGGCAGCAGCGCAATCCGGTCCTGTCTGCGCGACTGAACAGCCCTTTCGAAGGGTCATTCTGCTCACCCCACATGTGGAGGGGGCTAGAAAAGGTGCCCTAAACATAGCCTGCCAAAATAACCAACGTGACTGGGCAATCATAATCACAGATCAACACACACAAAAAAAATCTATATAACCTCTTATGGTCGCTGCATGGAATGTCAGGACCCTTCTGGATACTGGCACAAATGAGCATCCTGAAAGAAGAACCGCCCTTCTGGCGAAAGAGCTGTCTAGGTATAACATCGACATACACAGCCATTCATGAGACTCGGCTCCCAGACGAGGGTCAACTCACAGAACGGGGGTCTGGCTATATCTTCTTCTGGAAGGGTACGCTTACTACGGAGAGAAACCACATTTATAGAGTTGGCTTTGCCAGCAGCCAATGTATCCTACTGTAATGATTGTTTATCAGACCATAGCTTACAGAGCAGAAAGAACAGCACATATAGCAGTAAGTAGATGAGCAGGTGTACACCCACGCAGGTTGACACACCCTACGGTGAGATTAAGACCTGACCCAGGAACATCAACCTAGAGAAGTCAACTTGTGAAAGAGACCTAGGGGTACTTGTAAGCCCGGACCTACGGCCTAGAAAACAGTGCGTTAATGTTCGAAATAAGGCAAACAGAGTATTGAGTTTCATATCTAGAAGTGTAAGTAATAAGAGTGCAGAGGACTTATTGCAACTATATCTTGCGCTAGTCAGGCCGCACCTCGATTATGCGGTTCAGTTCTGGTGCCCTTATTATAGAATGGATATAAATTCACTAGAGTCGGTGCAGCGAAGAATGACGAAAATGATTCCGGGACTTAGAAACCTTCCATATCGGGATAGGTTAAAGAAACTAAACTTGCATTCCCTAGAAAGAAGAAGAGTGCGGGGAGATATGATAGAAGTATTTAAGTGGGTGAAAGGAATCAATAAAGGGGATATAGATAAAGTTCTTTTAATATCCGAGCAAGATAGGACTCGGAGCAACGGATTTAAGTTGGATAAGTTTAGGTTTAGGAGGGAGATAGGAAGGAACTGGTTCACAAATAGGGTGGTGGACGAGTGGGACAAGCTTAGCAACTTTGTAGTAAGTGCTGGAACGCTGGAAAGTTTTAAAAGGAGGCTAAATAGATTCATGGATGATAGAGAGTGGTAGTAACTCTCATAAGAACATAAGAACATAAGAGTGGAGGAAACTGCAGCGGGCCTATTGGCCCATACTGGGCAGTCCCGTTTATACCCAACCCCTATTGCTCATATAAGCATCCAACCTGTGTTTGAAGCTATCCAGCGTATTCGAGTTAATGATGATATTTGGTAACTTGTTCCATTCATCCACTACTCTGTTTCCATACCAGTGTTTACCAATTTCACGCCTAAATCTAAGTTTGTCTAATTTAAAACCATTGTTACGAGTTCGCTCCTGGTTGGATAGTTTGAGTACCTTTGTAATATCCCCTTTGCTTAACCCTGACTTCCATTTATACACCTCTATCATGTCGCCCCTCACACTACGTCTCACGAGGGAGTGCAAATTAAGATGCTTTAACCTGTCTCTGTACTCAAGGTTCCTAATGCCCGGGATTAGTCTTGTCATTCTCCTCTGGATTCTTTCCAAGGATTCTATATCCATTCTGTAATACCGTGACCAGAACTGAACTGCGTAATCCAGGTGAGGTCTCACAAGCGCTAGATATAATTTTAAGATGACCTCGCTAGTCTTGTAACTAACACTCCTTTGTATGAACCCAAGTACTTTATTAGCCTTGTTACGAGCAAAAACACATTGTTTACTTGGCTTAAGATTCCTACTTATTATTACTCCTAAATCTCTCTCTCAGTCGGATTCCACAATGGCATCGTTGTTCATCTGATAACTGGTTTTCCTGTTTACTTCTCCTATATTGAGTACTTTACATTTGTCCACGTTGAATTTCATCTGCCATTTTTCCGTCCATTCGAAAAATTTGTTTAGATCTTCCTGTAGTTTTGCAGAGTCCTCGTCAGATTTAAATACATGTCCTATTTTAGTGTCATCAGCAAATTTACTTATGTTGCTGTCTATGCTGCCATGCACAGGTCAA